CATCCAGCTCTTGGCTTCTTTCCTCCTCTCTCTCCTTCGGTCCTACAGTCCATTCTAATCTTTTCCTCATATTGATCACCCCTGTGAGGCTGAGGAGCCTATCAAACAACATTATGGTCGATTCGATGGCCACTGAGAAGTTAGAGGGCACTGAAAATCTGACTAGCTATGCCATGAATGACATTTCTTGAAGCTTTGCATTGATAACGGATACCTTAAAGCTGGAGCCGCCCCGCTGGGGACACGGCTCTGTTTATCTGAAGCGAATGGAAAAAAAAATAAAACAACTGCGGTCAATCTTTCGTAGGTAAGAGTACATATTTGCATCGGAGCTCTACTTCCTGTTGTTTTTGTTGTGCAACCTCTGCAGTGCCATTGTATAGATATGTCTATTAATATTTAATATGTTTTTCTATCCCTCACTGTGAAGAGAGCTGTGTCCACAGTGTCTGATAGATTGTCTTTACCTCCTGCTGGGTGGGAAATATGACGGAAATTGGTTTCGCAGTTTATCTGTTCAATCGTTTTAGACTGTTTACCGGTGTATATTTAGGTGTTTTATCCTCGTCCCTTTGTTAGCAATACTAGTAATCTCAAATTGTCCTGTGTTTTCCTTACTGAAAGTGAAATTCAGCAATACCATGCATTATTTTCTACTCACATATTTATCTAGATTTTTGCAGATGCCTATTTGACATGTACAACACACACACACACACACAGACGCTATAACGATCTAAGGTTAATTATTTGTCAAAAGGAAAACACAGCGTCACAGAGTCATTGTTCCTCACAGCTCCCACCCACGCCACCCGACACACTCACAATGCACTTTGAAGGACAGGGGCTGCGAGGAGTTGTCTGGCTCGGTCACGTTTTCGTCATTGGACACACAGCGGTAGGGCCCCTCGTAGTACCTTCCTGCATGGGGAATAGACAGCACTAGCGTGTCTGCGAGCTGCTGGATCTTCAGTGAGTAGAAGCACCAATATCTCTCCATAACGGGACGCCAGCCATGCATGTACTGTTAAAGAGAAAAAGGGGAAGAAAAAGAAAAAGAGAGGTCTTCTTTTACATTTACTTTTCAGTAATGAAAATTCTCTGCTGCATAATACTTCTTTGAGCTTACATAAGCTCAGAGAAAATAAATTAATATGATAGTTATACACATTAGCAGTCTAAGGTTATACAATAGTAATCACATCCCTAGTGATTTAAAAATGATTTAATTAAACATAAAAAAAAATAAAAGTCACGTGTCTTGAATTATTACTTTGCAGCCATCTGATTACATTTGAAATATCATATTCAGGAGGAAAAGTTACATAATCATTGTCATTACTGGGAATTACTGTGGTGGATCATTTTTAGGAGTTACATGTTATGAAGTGATAATGTTTACTGAACTTTTGATAGTTATAAGAAAGTTTAATCTTTATTTTGAAAAACGAAATTTAGGAACAGTAATGAATCATAGCAGTGAGCTCCTTCTCAGGTATACAAAATCTCCAACGTTACAAACAGAGCTGTGACATGCACATCGTGATATTTTTCAAGTGCACTCTTTTCCTTTTTCACCCATCTTCCTCCAGCTCACCTTGGAGTAGACCTCAAAGTGGACCTGGCTGATGTTCAGGTCGGAGTCTGTGTATAGACACTCCAGCGTGACCGTGTCTCCCTCCAAAACTGGCTCAGTTGGCCCTTTGATGACCAAAGACGCTGCATGTGGACAGACATAACAGATGATTAAGTGAGAGGTTGCGGAGGTGGGTGTACCTCCTGAGCACTGCTTTCAAAACAGCTTTCTTCCCGGAGAACCTTGGAGTACTCATAAAAACACCACAAGCACATGACCAACAGGTTTTTCAACTTGACGGATACTGTTGATAACAGAGACTGATTCTCTTTCACTTCAGGCAAGAAGTGCTGCATAACATGGTTTACATATTTTTTTCACAAGAACTGAATGCGAGGCTGGCCTCCGCACACTCTACATAAAACATTTAGCTGCTCTTATGCGTTAGTCTCTCGATAATTCTAACAATATTTCCTGTTTCACTCTGTGTGTCGCAAGGGAAAACCTATCAGTGTGACAGAAGAGAAAAACAAAGCCTTTCCTCAAGAGAACAGATCAACTAAGAGACACACAGACAAGGAGACAAACAGGCGAGCAGACGCCACACGAAGCCCAGGGGCTTCAGCTGTATGAATATATTTATGAAAAAAGGAAGACCAGAACCCCGCTGAAAGATTAAACCAATATCTCATTACAGACGAGCAAATAATATTCAGCTCTTTGAGAGAACCGCATAAAAGTCCATGAGTAATATGAAAAATATTTACCATAACTGCCATGAATCAGGGAGACCACTGCAGCAAGAAGAAGCGCTTTCATGGCTGTGGAAAACAATATCAACACAAATATCTGAGAACACGTCGTGGGCTCCTGCGCACTTTCTCGAAATGAAAGTTTGCTCAGTATTTATGTATAGGAGGGTGTAGGTGTGGCTTTCTTCTTCGTGTGATTTTCAGGAAGCGCGTTCGAAGAAAAGTTGAAAATCCAGCCAGCATTTAAAAAAGTAAACAACCAGTCAACACCAAACCATAAATACACGACTTACTGAGTCTAGTTACGAATATGTTGTGACTCATTTGTCACATACACAAGAAACACTGTAAAGTGAACGCAGTGTAAACTCAGTGAACAAAACAAGGACCGCTGCTGCTGCTCCAATAATGAAATTCACTTCGCGGTGCGTCACTTGTCTCTTAGGGCGGTGGAGTCTGTCACGTCTGAACTCGTTGAGGTCGGTGTTTTGCTGCTCAAGTTCATCGGAATGTGAAAGCACTTGTGACACGTTACCGCAGAGCGTGCTATCTAAAACCGGGGAAGCACAGCGTTTTACGCTTCATTTTCTCTGACCTTTGATTGATTAGCTGTTAACCGGAGCTGAACCGCAGACTCCGTGGGCCTCAGATGCGCTGACCTACACATGTTCGAGTTATCTGAATACGCGCAGACAGCTCGTTAAAAACAATGCAAGACAGCCGAGCAAAGAGACTACCTGTCAAAATCCTATAAAATGTTATTTGCTCTCGTGTGCTGTTATGTCTCCATTTAGTAGAATGAACTGGATAAACATAAAAATCCATTTTCCCTAAAAAGCGCCCTGAGGGAGTGATTGGTAATTCATTATCATTGCCGTTTCACTGCATATGTTGTCAAACACTTCATGGTTTAATGTTTTTATTGCATGTTTTTTATTGTTATTATTAGCGATGGTGGCCGTGGTGTAAATGGGCAGTGGACATTCATGGAGTTTGGGGATATTGTGCGCAATATTTTGAGATTACTGTGTATTTGTTCACTGCGGATGAATAAAAACACCAATAAAGTAAAAAGCAACAACAAAGAAATGTTTTGTTAGATTTTTGGCCTTGAAACAACATATTACTTAAAAAAAAGAGAGACTACAGTGTCTTATAAAATTATTGGGCCACTTCTCATTACTTTATATTTTGCTGGGAAAATGGGAAAAAGGTGCAGTTGATTTATTGAAACGTACAAACATACATTAAAATAAAGCAAACGTTTTTAAAATTAAATACATTCCTTCTTTATTCTTCAACACAACCTGAACTCTGTTCTTTGTGTTTCTATTATGGTGGGCTTTTCACTGCATTTGGTAGTGTGATTGAGATCAATTGCTAACACTTTCCAGATGGTATTGCATGGTGGATCAAAATCTGTGTTCTACTTTTCTGTGTTCATAATTCCACCAGTTTTCATACAATCCCCAAACGAACTGGCTGAAATGCAGCCCCAAACCGTGACAGAGCATCCACTATGTTTTACAGATGGCTGAGACACTCACTGTTGTATCGCTCTCCTGACCTCCACTGTACATATTGACGAGGAATGAAATTTTTCAGATTCTGATTCATCACTTTATAAGACGTGTTGTCGTTGATTTTCTGTATAAATTTTGTGTAATTTGTCATACCTCAGCCTTTTCTCCCTGTTTCACTGAGACCATTTCTGACGAGGCTTCAGTGAACAGTAGATGGTTCAACTGAAGGTCCAGATACATCTTTCCAAACACATCTCTCTTGCTGGACTTCTGTTTCTTGAGGACATGACTTTCAGATACTGTTCATATGCTGGATGAAACTTTTTGGACCCACCACCTCTTCTTTTGTCTTCTGCTTGTCCAGTTTCATCTGATATTTTACTTCAATTCAGTTTTATTTCTGCAGGGCCAAATCAAAACAAAAGTTGCCTCAAGGCGCTTTGTTTTGTGAGGTAAAGACCCTACAATAATACAGAGAAAACAGAGAAAAGCCCAACAATCAGATGGCCCTTTATGAACAACCGTGTTGGCCTGGGACAATGGAAAGGAAAAACTCCTTTTTTCTTTCTTTTTTTTTTTTTGCTTCAATGATAATATCCGTGTTAATAGTATAAAAGAAAACAAATAAAAACCAAAACAAACACACAATCACACAATAATCATTTGAAAATGTTCAGGTGCAATGATTGAAGTGAAAACGAACGAGAAAGAACTAAAAAAATGAAAATGAGAGAACTATTGCTCGATTAAATTTTAAAGAATTACAAGAAAGCAACTCCTTGAGAACAGAATATAAAATATATAAACATAATGTAATAATGAATAATAAATAGAATAAAATATGTATTTAAAAATATGGGTGACTCAAGACTTTTGCACTGTATTGTGCAGAAGGGAAAGGAATAAGTATATAAGTTATGTGATGAAAATATTATTATTATATTATTATATATATTATAACTAAGAATTATAACTATTGTTCGAAGCATGTAAACTTTTATTTTTTAGTAAAATTAGTTCGTGTAGATACTAAAGAAAGCAACGCTTCTTTATTAAAAGATCAATTTTTTTGTTGTTGTAATTCCACGAAACATCCAGCAGGTGGCAAAGTAGAGGACCCAGGACTGCGGCGCCCACAGGAAACGGAGATCAACAAAGCGGAAGTATTGAAAGGAAACCTCGGTTATTTTTCCAGCTACCCAAAGGGGAAAGTGAGAGACGATTTTTGTGTCAAACAACAAATTTGGCATCACAGCAACGCCGAAGGATGGACAGATAGTGCTTGTTTAACTGAGTAAGTTGACAATTTAACGCACAGTTTTAAGATTTAGCCTCCATATAGATTCTCCACCGGATTCGGTGCTAACGTTAGCCGCTATTGTTTTTAGCACCAATGTTAGCGCAAACTTCGGTGTGTTTTTTATTGTTTGTTTTATTCGGTGAAACTCCACGGCCATGATTAATCTATGATCTGTTGTTTTTATATTTTGAGTGTCGTATTTTTCACTAACTCGATTAATGTTTTCAGTAAACCCATGCCATTGTTTGTCGGCTAAGTTGCATGGCTTGGGTCTATGCATACTTTCGGTATTGTAAAGGTAGTAGAGTTATTAATAAATGTTGTAAACAATAAGTAAAGTCAACTATCGCTAAAAGGCCCTTTATTGTAAATATAAAGCACCGGGTTTTATGGTAAAACTTCGTGTTATTTTTTACTTTAAAACCAGGAAAGTCTTGAGAGCTTTAATAAAGAAAGCAACTGGACTTCTTTAGGTTTCTGAAGACGTTTAATCCAAGAGTCTTATTCAATTTTAAAAAGAAAAGGTGGGACATCCCAGGAATTTTCCCCTTTACGTGGTCCTGAGAGTCGTTAACCCACTATTAATAATGTGACTCATCACATGAACCAAGGTGTGAGTAAAGGAGTGGGCCATTATCATCATCATGAGTTTGTTGATACCTGACATTCTAATTATATCAATAATGGTCGTTCACAGTGGGTGTAGATGGTCATAACCTCAATAGGTCACATGATGGAGTGGGCAAGAGTAGTTTTGCCCTTATCCCCCAGTGATGGAAATGACCCGCACTTTTTTTTGACACTTTGGCTCATGATCAGTAGTCTGTCAACGACTCTAAGGACCACCTCCAAAGGGGATGATCGCTAGTACGGGTTAAATACCTGGACATCCCACCATTTGTCTTTGCAAGCTCCTTTGACTTAGAACTGAAGAAGCCTCTTAAATGGAAGGTCTGGCTTCACAAACCCAAAGACAGTTGGCCCCTTTTTCAAGCTCTGAGAATTGAGAGGCTTCAAAGACATAAACTCTGCATTTTTGCCAAAGAAGACGATGATACAAGGATTTTTTATGAATGTCCTGACATTCAGCCTAAACAGCTTGATCAACCTGTGATTAATTTCTGTAGTAACTCTAATTTGTGACTTTTAATTTCAGATTCACGGCTGCGGTCCTGGTAAAGAGGTAATTCATCACATCTGAGTTCAACTTGCTGCTGAGGGTTCGAGAGAGACCTACCACAACTGTTTTGCCCCGCAGTGACGCTTCAGAGTCTCTCTGCTTTTCCTTTAGCCACCAGCATGGCTAACAGCACTGTGACAGTGGTTAAGGGTCTGCCACCAGGCCCTGCGGGTAGAAGTAGTCCAGAAGGCTCTCAGGTTAGTTAATTTTTTGCTTAGTAGAACCAAAGCCAGGATCTGTGTAATAACTTACTGACTTCACCTCTTAAAATGCAAAAGATTGAGAGTGTATTTTGTTTTACATGAAGATTCTTTCTTTTTCTTTGTTTTGTTTTTTTGGGGGTTTTTTTGTTGTTGTTTTTTACATGAAATATCATGAAAATATCAGTGCAAAACTTATGGCTCCTTGCTTTAAATGTGAGAAAACTGTGTTGTATTGTGTTTTTTCATTTTATTTTTTATCTCTTACTAGAGATGGACCGATCCGATATTACGTATCGGTATCGGTCCGATACTGACCTAAATTACTGGATCGGATATCGGAGAAAAATAAAAAATGTAATCCGATCCATTAAATATCACGAAAGCACCTCACAAAACTTGCAACACGCCGTAACTCACCTCAGAACGTTAGCACGTCGGAGCAGTAGGCATCACGTGATAGAGCGGCTGTGGCATGCGGGACCTGTCGGTGGTCTGGATAGCATTTGGAGCTTCGCTAGCAACCCGGCATTTCATCTCCGACAAAGTTATCCCCGAGAGAAGTAAAGCACGTGTGTAAGTCCATCTCTGAATGTTTGTAAAGCATTCCTGCGTTAAGCTTAACGAGTGACTGCCTCTCGCTCTCCGGCTGCTACTTCAATCATGAAACTGCTTAATGATCAGCTGATCGGCTTTTCTGTCGCGAGTCCGTGTCTCTAGTTTGCTTTTGGCCCACTTTGCACCAGAAAGAGGAAACCAGCGGCTGAACAACAGCAGCACGTTTAAGCTTGATCAGCTGTTGTTAGAATTTATTTATTATTACTTTCTACACCAGGATCTTTTTCTACGTAGCTGACGGCTGGTAACTGTGCAGGGGAGGATCTAGCAAAGTTTAGCCAGGGGGGCCGATAGGGCATTAACAGGGAAAAGAGGGCACAAAGACATACTTTTCTTTCTTATTCTCATTTAAAATGTCGAGCTTTTAATTATTTAATATTTATCTGAATCTTACACCCAAAGTTTTAATCTGATGTAAAATGTATAGAAGTCCATTATTGTATATAGTAACTATTAAGTCTAATATACCCTAGTAAGCTATAGTACTTTTTCCTTTGGGAAGGTACCATCTGTGCAGTCTGCAATTTTGTTGAAGAAAGATGTTGAATCTATTTAATATTTCTTGAAAAATAATTAATTTCTGTGCATTTTTTTTTCACACTGCATCAAATTAAGGTTGATTACGTCGATTAAGCATCATGAGGTGGAGCGTGAGGGGTGGTTCCCTATTTTTTATTTATTTATTTTTGTTGTTGCTGGGAGTTGGAACCCTATTAGTTAGGTTGCTTAATATTTATGCTAAGTACTCTTTAAAATACCAGAATAGGGAGGATGGTGTAGGTTTAAGTTTATTAGATTGATCAGTATTGCTGAACTATGAAATATATTTTTTTGCATACAGGTATAACAGAATAGCTTTAGTGTAGTTGTTGTTTTAAACTTGAGTATGAACTTATACAAAATGCAGCAAGATATTTAAAAAACAGTTTTGTTGATTAAAACACACTATATCGGATTCATATCGGTATCGGCAGATATCCAAATTTATGATATCGGTATCGGTATCGGACATAAAAAAGTGGTATCGTGCCATCTCTATCTCTTACTATCACTAAGGTATTATGCAGACCACACAACTGCACCCATTAGCTTTTGTTAAAGGATGATGGATGCATCTTTTTTTCCCAGGTGCTAAGTAAGAAAAAGCTGCAGGACCTGGTGAGAGAGATTGACCCAAATGAGCAGCTGGATGAGGACGTTGAGGAGGTTTGTCAGTAGTTTAAATAAATTGTGCAAGATTTTTTTGATCTTCTCTGTATTGAATAACATTTACATATTTTTTCATCATCTGCAATTAAAACTTGCCTAATGCTGTTAACATGATGGTATCCAAGCTATAGTGAAACGGATGGTTTCTTCAGTTCGCTGTCTGGTTTTCAAAATCCCTGTTTTCTTCTCAGATGCTGCTACAAATTGCGGATGATTTTATAGAGAGTGTAGTGACGGCAGCCTGTCAGCTGGCACGCCACCGCAAGTCCAACACCTTGGAGGTGAAAGATGTTCAGTTACATCTAGGTAAGTTGCTTGTGACGTTTTTGAATGATTGGGTCATTCTTTATTTTGTCAGGTTGTACTGTGTGCCTTGAGCTCTCACAAAAAACGTAAGAATGTTTATTCTGCAGTTATTGGTTGGCAGCTGTTTACAGAAATATTATCAAGGCTTATATTTAATTCAGTGCTACATGCCTTATGAGAATTTGATTTGAATTATTTATTTGCTGCTATCATTTGTTGGCTATTTATATTCAAATTTTGTTGTTACTTTGAGAGCACAAGGTGATTTAGCAGACTTTATATGCATAAAAAACGTCTGGTATGAATTGATTTTTTTATCACTTAAATTATATTAATGATAAGAACTTAATTTAATATTTGTAGATGGTTTCAGATAAATGTTAGGTAAACTATGTGCTTTCTGTGATAAGTTTGAATATCACAGAGGGAGTTTAAATTATTTACTGTAAAAGCCTTGAAAGAAAAAAAAAAATAACATGTATATATCAATTTTTGAAAATGAGATGGAAATTAGATCTTTCCTTATAGACTGGGTTATTTGCCAGATATGATCACTTCGATATCAATATCTATTGTAAATCCCGATGAGCCTTTTAAAGTCTGTGGCCTGCTGCCATTGTGCATTGCTTTTCTCAGAGCGCCAGTGGAACATGTGGATTCCTGGTTATGGCTCAGATGAGATCCGGCCGTTCAAGAAGGCTTGTACCACAGAGGCCCACAAACAGGTGAGCGATTGCCTCTGCTGCACATGTTAGATTACTGTAAATGGTAGAATAACTGCTGATGTTATATTTGTCAGTATGGTTAATTTGGTTTGTATTATGATGAACACTGGGCCTAATTGTTTTCATTTATTCTCATTTCAGAGAATGGCGCTGATCCGCAAGACAACCAAAAAGTAGCACGACTAAGATGTACCTATTGTGGGTTTTTTTTTTTTTTTTTTTTTTTTTTTTCCCCCCCATTCTCTTTTATTTTCCTGTCAACTGGGATGTTTTTTTGTTTGTTTGTTTATTTTTTTTGACTAAAATAGAGAGGTGGTATTGGTGGATGTATTTTTCTTGACATTAATGTTTCATTGTCATAGCTCTGTAAGTTTTATGTGTTTTGCCAGAGTCATTGCACAATAGTGGTCTTTGTATGTTTGATTCTGTATTGTTGCCATTAAGCTAAACCTGGCAGAACTCCATTGCATCTTTGTCAATAAAAATACTTTCTTGGTATCGTTCATTACTTGGATGTCAGTGTTACCTGACTCACGTGCCTTCCTAAAATACTTGGTTTTACCTTTCTCATTAGAGATTTATCATTAGATTAGATATATTGCAAGTAAAGTAAATGACTGATTGGGACTCCTCTGTTTTTATTGAATCAATTTGTGCAATGATTATCATTATACTTCTTTATAGGTTTTTGTAGTTAATTCAGGTGTAAACTACTACACCAACCTTAACACATTTTTTAGCATATTGTTTTGGTTTTTAATTTTTCTTTTGTTTACTTTGTCTTATTTGGATGCAATTTTCCAAACTTCAGATGGAAGAAATTGTCATTGTAAGAAATTAATGACTGAAATTACCAATCGGAAGGTTGGAGTATGGTGTATGTATTGCCAGACTTAAGTTGGTCAAATTACATGGATATGTTAATTATCTGAGATGCTGTTTCACATTTATTAGTCAGCTACCTAGTAGATGTGAAATTGCCACACTATGTATTACATTAATACACCACAAAGGCTCAGATGTGATTAAATGGACTTCCTGCATACTTGCAGCCAACCAAGGATAAAGAAAGATATTCAGAAACAGCAGATGGCTACCAGCCATCATTTAATGACCTTGTTTTAGTTGCAGAGACACTGGGGGAAAACCCCAATTTAATGTATGCACCTGAGAGTTTAATGAATTTCCACAGAAACACCTACAGACAACCAGTTCCTCGCAGGATGTTTACTAGTCATGTTACAAGACAACTGTTCAGGCTCATAAGAATAACTGAAGAGACAAATGAAGGCTCAAGACAATATTTGTAATCTGAACCAAGGGACCAAGTACCTTAATAGCTGCCAGTTACTGGCAGAACAAACAATATAGGAATATAGAAATTGAAAAGAAAATACAGAATACCTTTGTGGAGCAGTGGCTCCAATCCTATCACTTTTGACCCCTCAAAGTCATAAACCTGCTTGCAAACCGCTATTTGTAATGTCTTTGTGTGGGCATGAGCTGTGCAGACTACCTCGCCTCCTCAACCTTCAAGCCGGTGGAACCACTTTACCAGTGTACGGGTTTCGAGGTAGAGAAATCAATAATTTAGATTTGTTCATTTCTTCTCTCACTTTTGAATAATTGTGACTGTGACACAATTACATCTTTAGCACCCATTAGACAAATTAGAGAAAAGAACAAACAACTTGTCATATTACAGCCTCTGCCCCAGCTGAACTGAGGTTAGCCATGACCTCATAAGTCCATTAGCGTAATATGCTGTGGAGCTGGCATCTCACTAAAGAGAGAATTACCATATTTCTCTTATAAATACAGAATATAGATTTTTCTATTAAAAGTCCACAGCTTCACTAGCAGCTTTGAGTACTTTGTAAGGCATATTTTGAGCTCAGTGTTACAAGTGACATTGAGCAAACTTAAATTTTAACCTAATGGTGAAGCTATATCAAGATCGGAAAGGTTATTGGGCTTTACAGTGAAAAGTTCGGTCTCATTAAATGATAATCAATACAACAGGAGTCGAGCGCATGACCTGCTGATGGCAAAAAAGCAAAAAGTGTAAAAATATCTGTTACAGAAAAAAATGAAACACTAAACTGACCTACTTCCCCATTTTATTTCACAGAGCCAACACAAAATAAAATACTAGCATCTTATAGTTCTAAAAGATTCATCTTCACAAAAAATGTGCAAAAATACTTTTCATACCAGCGTGTTTTATGATTTTTGTGCCTTACAGTAATGCCACCACCGATCCAACCTGCTCACAGTTATTTATTGCTTTTACAGTCACGTGAGTTCACATAGATAGGCACCACATGTCCACAGTTTAACCGCAACACTTTTTCTTGTCCTTAGTTGCTGTTCTTGGCTGAGGCATGTTGGCTCGCTGTAACTGTAGCGCCTGTGGGACAGTGCACTTGACTCCATCCCAGCCCTCTTGCAGCTCTATCTCTCCACTCAATAGTCCCTGGTAGATTCGTCGAGTGAGGAGCTCGAAGCACTCCTTTACATGTTGCCCAGACTTTGCAGATGCCTCCACGTAGGGCGTTCCTAGCTGCTGGGCCAGCTTCTCTGCCTCTTCTCGGCTCACCGCCCTTTCCCTGTGAGCATCTCGGTCATTCTTTTGACCCACCAGGACGAACAGAACCTTATGTGGCTGTACTCGCTCGCACACCTCAGCATGCCAGTCTTTAATATGGTCAAAGGAGGCTCGATGGGTGATGTCAAACACTAGCATGCCTCCAACTGAGTTGCGGTAATAGGAGCGGGTCACTGATCTGAGGAAAGAAGTGAGACAAAGGGGTAAAAAATCTTGAGAGATAGAAAAACCCACACTGGCAAACAGAATCAACATTTATGTCCTGTTCTAATGAGCAGTTAACAGCTGCTGTGTATAACTTCAGCTCTTTTGGACAAGCATTCATACAAACAGTTCCCCCTGATTTATTGAACCAAAGGTCATCTAAACTGTCAGGTGGTGAAAACTTCATCTAAACAGGTATTTCTGAAAACAGGACAAGCCTTTGGTTCACTTAATGGGATTATAGATCCCATCCAGAGTGAAGTTAAATGCAAACAGGCGTAGTTTGCAATTTGTTTCAGTTCATTCAGCTGGAGAACTGGAAAATAAAGGATTTGGAGACAGAATGAAGCATGCTTCTCCTAGTTCTTTCATTAAATACGCTGAGCCTGGAAAATATTACATTTAAAAGAGCTCAATCTTCCATTTAGAAGTATTGCACAAACTGCACTTCTGTACACAGTACACACCTATCTTGTGGCACTGACAGGGTGGATACACAATCATAGCTGAAAGTAAACAAAGCAAAACAACTTCATTGTGAACGGAATAGGCCCTAGTTCAGTTGTCGCACACAACTAAAGTGTCTCTAATTTTCATTTTTTGAACAGGGTCCTTGTAATGTGGCCTAATGCATTAAAAACGACATAAATGTTACCTGGATTCCAACATAAAGCTCATATCATTGTAGACTGCATATATCTTATTCAAAGATCATCCATACCTGAACCTTTCCTGTCCTGCTGTGTCCCAGAACTGCAGCTTTACACGGATCCCCGGTTCCACCTCCAGGAAGTGAACGTAGAAGTCAACACCTACTGTCTCGTTGATGGACTCCATAAACAAGTCCTCTGTGTAGCGTTTCAGTAGGGAGGACTTTCCCACAGCTGAATCGCCCAGCATGATGATCCTGAACTGGTACTGCCACAAAGTCAGGTCCATTGTTGCTGGCAGTTACAAGAGATTAAGACAGGAATGACAGCTTTTGGAGATATGAAGGTGTGCACAAGCGCTGGGAAAGAGAAAAACAGATTGTCATAAAGATTAGAAAAGGTTAAAAGCAAATATAGTGAGAGATTACTGAGACTGAAGAGAAAGAAAGAGACATAACTTCATGGAGACTATCTACCACACAAACTCAACACCAGTTGCTTTCTTACCTCTGACAATCCAAATGTTGAGAAACAGGCATTAAGCCACTCCTTATTAATCTCACTACCAATGCAGCAGCAGTGTTCACAGCCATCCCAAGCTTCTTTCCTTTTGTGACTGCAGTACAGCTCTCATTCTCATGGTGGCTCTTCAAATCCTCTACGAGGGCAGGTATGTAGAAAAATCTTCCCCACAAAGTGGATCCATTTGAGCTGCTGATCTTAACTAGTACAGTAAGCTTGTACACAAGTGTGGCTTTGCAGGGGCGTGTACTTCTAAAGGTTGCTTGTTGATACTTGACTAAAGGAGGGGCAAGAGCACAAGGACAAAGGGAGGGCCAGATGTGGGAAAGGGGGAAGTTTAAGGAAGTAGTGGCTGCATAAAAAAAACTTATCAGGGGAAACTGTGCAGTTTCCTGTAGTTGCGAGCCAGTAGGGACATCATCATCACCAAACATACAAAATGAGGGTGACTGTTGGCAACTCTAACAGTTGCCACACTATTTGCAACAGTTTTTATCACTTTATGATCTCATATGTGCAGCGAAGATCTGAAAAGGGAAGTTGATAACAATGTCGGTTTTTATCCTCTGGGAAAGCCAAACTGGTCTCACAGCTATATGTAAAGTGACTGTGACCTCTTAACATTATGCAGTGATGGAACGGGTTCAAGTTACATGAAGGGACCATGGAGAGCAACAAGCTTCCTCTCCACTGTCCTGGTTAGTAGGATAAAAAGTCCATCCATAGGCAGTTGTGACACCAGCATATTTATGAAAAGTCATTCACAGATACTTACAGCTTGTAGGTGTAGTATTCTCCAGGACCTCCCCCCCCCAAAAAAAAAAATACAAATAAACAGATGTGCTGCATAACACATGCATCTAAATTTAATAAATAAAAGGCATTTCAGTACATTTGGGTCACACAATGGTAACAAAATGGGATCTCATGTTACTTAGTAGACTGAAAGTGCAAGAGGGACATTTGATAGTTATAACCTACTAGATGCTTTTACTGATGCTTCAAGATCCATTTGAGATCGTAGTTTTAGTTTTATTCTGTTGTTGTCGCAAAGGTTGCTTAAATTTCCCCAGCTGTCAGATGATTGTGCATCAGCATATTTCAATTTAAACAGTTCTTAGTCAGAAATAGCAGTAAAGGGCAATCATGTTTCCTGGTCATAGGCAAAAGTTGTGCAACATGAACTGGTCAGTTCAGTTTTAGGGCTTCACAAACTAATGGCGTTCCAAAGTGAGCGAGTCTTCAAATGACAGCTTACGTGCAGAAATTAAAAGCCTGCATCCATGTGATTGATTCATGCCTAAATCTTTAACATTATCAGAGCAGAATATTTCACATTTTCACCCAAGAGTCACAGCTTCATGTCCAAACAGATCTGGATGTAATACAGAGAAAGATTGCTTAAAACCAAACCAGTATTAAACTATGGGGGAAATACAGATGAAAAAACTGACAATTACAACAATTTAAAAAGGTAAATATATCAGTAATTCCCAATATATATATATAATCCCACCTAACCCTTTCTCAATTCCAAAAAACAGAGAAAGTCTCTGAAAAATATTTCTCTGAAAAACTCCAAAATACACATCTTCTCATTATTTTACCAGAACATCATTATGATAACGGCAGTACACTTTATACCGATGGGCTGATGTCTTCCCTTTAATCATGTACCTTAGTGTATTCTTTTTTAACAAGTTCCATTACAGCAACAATTTTTTTAAGTTCCCTCATAAAACCTTTATTAATACTTGATTTTTGCAGCAACTTTAAAACACTAAAATAAACAGAATTCACTACCTTTAATATTTTGCTGTAGGCAAAATATTTGAAGAACATAAATTATAAATTGTTATGACAATAAAGTATTAACAATTCAAAAATACAGAGTAATACAAAGATTGTTTGTGCAGAGTCAGTCAGGGTATTTCCTGGGTGATCTCCATGAGCGGCACATACACAAAAATTACTTCTACAAAGGCAGAAACTTCAGCTCACGCATGTCCATGTCGGGAGAGCTGCTACCACTGTGATCACTGTAGGTGTCCCTGAAATGAAAGGTAAATTCAGAAGATTATTACATCAGCAAGACATTATAGGGGCAATTTTTTCTGTAACTGCGGGAATTGTTGTGACATAGCATCAGTTTTAAATGCAGATATAATATGTGTGGGCAAAATGCTTAATGACTGATGTTAAATATTGATCAAGTTGTAGGTTCTTTGTAAGAGGTTTTTTCACATGTTTACCACTCAGATTACTTATTAAAAGTGTCATCAAAGCATAAATGTCAGCTAAATATGATAAAAAATGAGAGAAAGGTGAAATAACATTCAACTGTTTGGAGGTTGGAGAAACACCGTGATGGAATAAGCGAACTGGGAAGTTATAGCTGCAGTTACAGCTAAACTTCAAAACTGTTGGACTGTCACCATTGCAGTTTCATTTCCTTTAAATAACTTTTGGATTGGCAAGTGATTGATGTGCTGGTGTTTACCGTGGAGAAAGGCGACAGCCCTTGGCCAGGTAGCTCTGGAGTTTTCCTGCAGAGGCCAGCAGGAGACCAAAGTATGGAGGAGAAGGTTTGATAGGTCTGGAGGTGAACTCTGGATGATACTGCACTCCAACAAAGTAACAGTGGTCTGAAACCAAAAAATTGCATATTACTGCACGTTTCTGCTCCCTCAGGCTTAATTTAAACAACAAAGATTAAATGTTTGATATCATAACGAAGGACAGTTTGGGGTTAAACATGATTTCTCTACATCGTGTTCAAGAATTGTATGTATTAGAAGAAGCCGGTGGGTGCTGGATTTCAAACACACTTTCCCCATACCCTCTAATTCAATGACTTCCATCCGCTCTCCTTCCACATCCTGACCAACAAACTGAAGTCCTTTTTGTTCAAAGTGATGCTTCAGCTCTGGATTCACCTGAAATAAGATAAGATTCTGTGATCCAAGGTTTTATTTTTTGTTTTGTTCTTGCAGTACTTCTAGAAGAAAAGCCATGGGCCCAACAAAACAAAATAATGTTCAAATCAAATCTCAAAGTTAGATAAGATACTGCACACAATACTTTTGCTTAATAAATTTTGTAATTACAAAATAATTTCCACACTTTTCGCTGTATAATAAAAAAAAATTTAACCCTTGTTTGGATCACTACCTCAAATCTGTGTCTGTGCCGTTCGTCAACATATTCCACATCTCCATATAGCTTTCCTGGAAGAATAAAAAATATTTTATCAACAGTAATTAGGTAGAAGAAGTCCAGGTATCATTTGATCCAGGGAGATACATACTCAGCACACTGGTGCTGGATGAGAAAATGGTCCGCCTCTTTCCCAACCTCATAGTCCCACCCATCTGGCCTGGGTTGTGTTCTGGCATGTCAATTACCTGTAGGGATCAAATCAAGATTATATAACTAATAATGGATGGTAAACATGCATGGTAAAAAAACAAAACAAAGAAGATAACATACCACAGGGTGTTTGGATTCTGGATTAAATTCTGTGGAGTTGGCATCTGAAAAACACAAGATGAACTGATCTGAGCACAAATCAGCTTTCCAATAGGTGGAAGCCTTAATCATCATTAAATTAGAAACCACTGGAAGCAAATGTTTCTTAGCTGTGTCCTCAGCAGAACTAAACAATCACGTACCTTCCCATCCAAGAACACTGCGGGCAAATTCACACACTGCCAGCTGCATGCCCAAACAAACGCCTGCAAAGAACAAGGCCAGTGGAATTCTAAATATTAAACAACATCTTTTTACATAATATATAAATCACTGACTACATGTAATGAATTTGGATATTAAATGCTACCTCATATGATTAATTGTCAGTAAAGAAAGGTGTGCAGTAAATACAGATTACCCTTTCAATATGCACCAGAGAGAATTTCAGCAGCCAAAACAAATACAAGACCTTGAAACAAAACCCCAGTAGGGGGTTTGTCTTTTCATTGGTGTAAGCGGTATTTGAAAAATTCATATCATACATAAAATATATGAACAGCATCCCAGCACATCCTCTACACCACCCAGCACTAAGGTGTGTAGGACAGAGTCTCTGCTTAGACTGAGTCTATATCTATAATCAACTCAATGTGTTTCCCCCTATTTGTCTTTCAATAACTGCTCAAACTACGTCCAACTGCAATATAATATGATACACAACATACAGCATAGCCTGACATCTCCCTTACCCAGGAATGGCTTATTCTGTTTCCGTGCCCAAGAAATAGCCTCCATCTTGCCTTCTGTCCCTCTTGCACCAAAACCTCCTGGCACCAAGACACCACTGTGGAAAAGAAAGAAAAGACCATCAATGCTCAATTCACTGAGATTTCACAGACACATGTAGAACCACTTAAATCTATTTAAACCTTGTGTCACTCTCTCTGGAAAACTTAAAAAAGCAAAATGCCAGGCTGGTATTGTACAGCCAATGTAAGATAATTCAGTATCGTATGGTTAGTGAACTAAGTAACATAATTAGAAAAGCTTTCGTTTGTGATAGTATCTGATTAAGACACACTAGTGACATTTTTCTTCAAAAAGATGAAGAAGAAAGAAGAAAAAAAACAACAACACTATCCTAAATTGTGTTTCCTTTATCAAAACAACCCCCTGCGGTAATACAATAATCTTTTTCGCTGTCCCCAACTTGTAGCATAACCTGTTACTGCTTCTTTTGAAACAGCCACAGACAAGCAGGACTTTTCTTTTAACCCATTTGCAATATTGCTACTACCATAGCTGCACGAACTATAATACTCTATATATATATAATAGAGTCTACATTTTAATATCAACAGCTGCTGATTATCCAAGATTATCCACACTTATTAGCGTGTTTTCGCCTTGTTTTGTCTACTCACTGAGCACTGCAGAGTTTCTGCCAGGCCTCGTGATATTTCACTGGATCATCTTGCAGGGTTGTAGTCTCCAAATCTGCAGAGTCTATGTACTGCAATAACAACAAACAGTGTAATCTGGATAGAGATCAGTCAACAACAGGCTGTACAAATACAGGAATATGTGAGGTTTTATTTAAGTATAGCAAGTTTATCTAAAAACAGTCCAAACTGAAAACAGCGATGCAAAATTCAGAAATTAGAAGAGAGTTGTCTCCTTACCTTGACCTCTAGTTTGTGATTAATGGCAAGGGCTGAGTGCTCTAGGGCCTTAATAACAGATGTGTAGGAGTCAGCTAACTTTGTATATTTTCCCACCAGGGCTATGGAAACATGCTCCAAGAGACGGTCGGATCTGAAAAGAGAGGGAGATGATTTATAGTACAGAATCTGGTGCATTCTTTGAATGATTACTTCCTCAGCTACCCGTTTTACCCGATCCCCTCAACGCTCAGTATGTTGTACTCACTAGGGAAAGAATAAATAAATAAATCTGCTTCTGGTGTCAGCATTCTTTAGGGAAAGTTTTGTGACCAAAATCATAACAAGCAACATTATTGCTGACATATTAGGAGGTTCTGAAACTTAGATTGAATCTGTCACGCCTACTTGTCTAGTAATGTTATGTTCAAGAAGTGAATATAATATTTTTTTTCATTAGCAGTGTAATGGTGACTAAAAGATCATGCCTGGATGATCTACAAGTCTGACACCAAGTTTTAAATTTAATAAACACACAGAGTCCTTTTTTTGTGTTGTATTTGAGGTTATGTCATGAGCAAGGAGCAAAAACAAACAAACAAGCAAACAAACAAACAAAAACAGCATCGTGGATATTCAAGGCTTCGAAATACACAGTCCAAAACACATAGCAGCCAAGTCCACCTTTTTGTACCTTAAATGAATGTATCTAGTTTTCTCTGTTCAAGACAAAATTCAAAATAGTTAAAGGCTGAGATACTCTTTCCTACCGGTCAGCCATCTCCTTCCACTTTGTTAACATCTTTCTGGGTCTCATCTCAATGGGCAAGTTCAACCGCTTGCACAAGTACCTCACAACACCCTGATCCTCCAGCAGCAGAGGAACTCTATAAATTGAGGAGACATCGTGGACACAGATCACCTGAAAGGAATTAGAAGACGTGTTATTTGTTGTCATCTGCTACCTTTTTTTTAAAAAACCATTTTAATACACTGACCTGTCACTTTATTAGGTATGCCTTAGCTATCAAAAGGACCACAGTGTCTCTTGGTATAAAATGTTACAAATCCCCCACATCTTTGCAACATCACCGCTGGTCTGAATTGTTGATACAAAGTAGGATGGATCCACGCTTTCAATTTCTCTACACCACATTCTGACCCCTTCTGAATACCCTGGTTGTAACGAGTGGTTATTTGAGGTACAGCTGCCTTCCTATCAGCTCAAAGCAGTCTGTCTATTCTTCTCCGAACTCTGGAATTAACCTGGAGATGAAAAATCCCAGTAGATCAGCTTTCAAAGTCACATCAACTTTCTTTCCCATTCTGATGCTTGGCTCAAACAAGCACATGAGCAGGTGTACCTAACAAAGTGGCTGATGAGAGGATATGCTTTCCACATCTGAGGTCAGCATCTATCTAAATCTAATGATATCATAGCAACAAAAAGTAATTACTTAATAATAATAAATTATTATATAATGTTATATCTATTTATAAAATATGACAACATTATCTGAAAGAGTAGATGTGAGTAGTGATGAGAACTGCACTAGCTCATAACTAACATAAGTAGCCTACCCTACCTACAGTTTTACAGGAAATCACCTGTGTGGGCTCCACATGACAAAACATGGAGATCTTTTCCTTGACAGATGTTTCTAGAGGAGTTGTGCAGCGACAAACAATCTGCCAAAAGAAGGACATATATATCAGGATAATGTATACAAACAAAATAATGCCAGAGCGCACACTTGAGTGTTTACGATTTAATACACTCCAAATTTTATTTGATTGTGTACATAATGAAATTAACATGTGATTCAAAAGGATGGCTTTATCAGAAGAATGAGGACAAGATCTGAGAGGTACACTCTTAAGCGAGTTTAAACCAGCTTCTTTGTGCTAACTGACTTGAGAAAACCTAAAACCGGGCATTTCACATCTCATATGACTCTTCGTCCTCACAAAATGATCCCTGTGAGTTCCCCCCAATCCAGTGACAGACATTATCAGATGATACTGATATAATAGTGGTAAAAAAAAATCTGCCAAATCAATCCTACAGAAAACAGTTCATCTATTGATTTAGCACGCAGTTGTAAAATTAATTCAAGTTAGCCATTTTAATGCTTAGTGCATTTGATATCCATTTGACTTGCAGATATAAGAATCAGTTTAATCTGACTACCCACCAAATCTGCAGACAATCCCAGCCCTCTGAGTTCTCGGACGCTGTTCTGGGTTGGTTTGGTTTTCTGCTCCCCTGTGGTATTGGGCTTTAGAGAAAAGATACAGCCACACAAAACAAAGCATAAATGGCCGTGCAATGTAAGTCCAAAGTGATTATCCCCCCCTGTTCAATACCACGTTCCTTCAATTACCAAAAGAATGAATTTAAGACTAATGAAACAAAAATATTTCAAATTACTCATTAGATCTGGTGATCTTACAGGTAATCAATTTTTCTACAATATCTGCTAACACTACTTGGTTGTGCATGGTCACTAGCAAACCATACCTGTGGTATCAAGCTGACATGGATGTTGCAGAAGTTCTCCCTTTTCACCTTAAACTGGAACTGTCTGAAAGCTTCAATAAAAGGCATGCTCTCGATGTCCCCCACTGTGCCTCCTAGCTGTGGACACAAAACACCAGCTTAAAGCACAGAATTACATGCAAGAATACACAGGCTGAGCCTCAGCACTTTGGAAAGACTTGGGAAATACAGCACACTGTCAGCAGTACCAAGACCATAATACTGTCAGCGCTGGTTTGAAGTATGCTGTATAGAAAGAACTGCTAGAGGCAGGATAATAATTTAACTTGGTTTATGAGAACTTGACTCTTTTAAGCTGCAAATATATTAAAGACGAAATAATTCTGCAGCACATACTGTAAAATAAACACTTGATTTATAACACAATGATTTAACACTGTTTTTTAAAAATACATAAAACATTTATTTCCCAAGGCTAGAAACAGCGCCAGTGTTTTTACAACCTTTCAACAGCAAATCATTTTTTAAATCCCTCTATTTACCAGTTTTTACTGTTTTTTGGTTTTTTTTTGGTGCATCACAGTGACACTCATTTGTTCGGGTTCAGCTATTTCTCAGACCTGCTGCTGAATGGTGCCAATATTTGCTATCGCTTCAGGCAACAAGCTTTTTTTTTTTTTTTTCCAATCCTTTTGGAAAATGTCATCTACTTCTCAAAATCACTAGAAAAACAGAATTGCACAAATGATTAAAGCGGTGGTACTCAGACTGTGAGGTGTGGAGCTACCGCAAGTGGGGCATGGACGACCAGTTGAAAAATGTTAAATGAAACTAAGTTGACTGAAAATTATCCATTTTTATGTGAAAAATACATTTGTTGTAGATATTATAATTACTTTATTTCAGAAAAATTCAACAAGTATTCCACTTCTGAAGTGGAGCATTATTTTTTTAAAAGTCTGAGAACTACTAGACTAAAGAATGACCCATGGTAATGTAAATAAGATACTTCCCACTGCAGCATATTTATTTACACTACAGGTCACCTTGGCCAACAACATAAATCCCAGCTTACCTCTATGACACAAACTTGAGGCTCCACACCGTCCTCATCCACTGAAATGGTTGCCTGCTTCATTACCCATTCCTGAATAGCATCTGTGATGTGTGGCACCACTGACAAAGAAAAGAAACATTTTAGCTATAGTTATCTGTGCATTTGCATTGTATAACTCAACCCTGAGAAATGCATGCACACATGTCAAATCCGCTTTCCTAAGGCCCGTTTTGGCAATAAAAGCAGTTATGTAAACAGTAATATCCAACCTTGTACAGTCTTGCCCAGGTAGTCTCCTTTTCTCTCCTTGTTGATTACTGATTGATAGATCTTTCCAGTTGTGATGTTGTTATCTCTGATAAGGCGGATGTCCAGGAAACGCTCATAGTTACCCAAATCTAGATCCACTTCCCCACCATCATCGAGAACAAACACTTCACCTGGAAAAGACAAACAGTACATCAGTGTTTTCACACAGTTTGTTTCATAGTAGCTTTTCACCTGGTAAAAATCCTTCCTGAGCCCCACTTGAGCCCCGCTTACTAACATAACAAATAAATATATACTTGACACTTTATTACGTACACCTTGCTCATACTGTGTCGGAACCCCCTTTGCCTTCAGGACTGCCGTAATTCTTAGTGGCACAGATTCATCAATGTGTTGGAAACAGTCCAGAGGTTTTGGTCCATGCTGACATAAAAGTATGACTTACTTTGGTGCAGATTTGTTGACTGCACGTCCAAGATGCAACTTCCCTATTCCACCAAATCCCAAAGGTTCTCTATTGGAATGAGATCTGTGATTTTGGCACAGTGAACTAATGTTGTGTTCCATTTGCCTCCAAAGTCAGAGCTATGAATGATGCCATTCCTAAATTTAGTTTGTTCAACAAAAACTTGGAAAAGCAAGCAATGCCATTAATGCATCACTAGCAGTACAACCCAATGCTTGCTTTTGCTTAAAAATGCTGCTGCAAGACATTCACAACTGTCGGTGGTCTGTATATGAGGTGTTTGTGGTTACAAACACACGAATATGCAGGATATCTTCTCTTTTTTGGGACCACTGTATAAAAAAATCTCAAGAGATCAACAGTTTTTGAAATCCCAACCCAGATGGCAAAAACAACCATGTCATGTACAAAGTCACTTAATCTACCTTTCCTTCACATTCAGCTGCTTAGTTTGAACTTCTTCAGCTCATCTTGACCCTATCTAAATGCCTAAATGCACTCAGTTGCTGCCATGTGATTGGTTGATTTTACACTTCCATTGGCAATCAGTTAAACAGGTGCACCTCAAAAAATGGTCAGGGACTGTACACTGTATGGAAACAACCTGTGCCCACACCACTCTACCTTAAAGGCTCTAACACTCCCACAGCGCTTCTTGTCAAATGTTAACCACAGAACTCCATCAAACAATTGAATCAAACTGCTGATGGCAATTGACTGAGGACAAGGACATTGTTAGAAGCAGTAAATTATAAATTACTTACCGTGCTCATAGGGTGAAAAGGTTCCAGCATCAATATTGATATATGGGTCAATTTTGATGGCTGTGACATGAAGACCGCAGGACTTAAGGATTGTTCCCACACTGCTGGCAATGATGCCCTTACCAATACCAGATATAACGCCACCAGTAACCAGGATGTACTTCATAGTGGCATCTAAGACTAAACACAGAAAACAGGAATCCAGTAAATGACTTACAAATGTACTTTACATTTCTAGGACAAGTTCTTAGCAATACTGGCATTTACAAGCTTTATTTACTCAAGTAGACAAATAGTATTAAAAGTCCCAAGGGTCCTTCTGCAAGTGGAAAAAAAGACATTTTATTTTATAATTTTCTATAGTGTTTTTGGGGAAAATAAATAAACACATGTCCCGCTATCCAGCGAGATATTTTAGTTGCTGTATGCTATGCTTGACACGACCCTGTCACCAATACTCCAGAACTTAAATAAGTAGAATTGAATAATGTTGTTTAATACATTTTTGGCCTTCTTTTAAGGTAAGGATAATCAAACTCATACTGAGCATTTAATTTCAGATAAGACTTAATTTACATGGCTGAATCAATACATTATTTTTATTTGTAGATGACGACATAAACATAACAGGGTATCAAACCAGTGCTAGTATTTGTGTTTCCTCAGAAAAAGACCCAAGCTGTGGAATGTATTGGACTATAAAAGTCGAAAATGTAGTTATAAAAATAAAGGAAGTAAACAGAATTGAAAGGAATTTCTTTCTTGGTAATATGTAACAGGCTTCCATCTGTCAGAATGACCGACTTGATCACCCAGTCAAGTCAAACAAGATCGGAAGAAAACAAAACATCTCAAACAGGTTTCAAGGGCTGCACATAAGTTGTGGGACTTACCACCCTTACTGTCCTTTAAATATATTGACGTTAAGTAAATGGGTTTAACAGTTAAAAGACATTTCTGTAGCAACAAAAAACAACAACTTATTTTAATTGTTATATTTGTTAAATAATATGTTATATTTATTAATTTAGTTATCTAGAAGTTAGGACAAGAGAAAGATCATTTTGTTTGTGCGTATGTGTGTGTTCGTTAGGGGCGGGGTCAGATTCAAGGAAAACCCTGCACAGAATGACTCCTAAACTGTCTATTTTAACAAGGTACTTGCCCTGCACCAACATTTAAATGGAGAATTTCGCTATGTGCTCAGTAAATTTATAGCTATAACACTTAACAGCACAGCCTGTCTGTTTCATGGTTTGATTAAACTGACAGCATGATGGTGTTTTTCCTTATAGAGGTGTGGCTAACCCTTTGTTTACATCCATTTGTTTACATTGTTCGGACCTATGCATTACAGTGAGACTGTACGAACACAAGTGGGTAAATCCAAATTGTAAAACCTAAGAATGTGTTAACATGTGATCGAATTACACCGGTGTGAAACACGCAGTGAATCATTAACTTTTGTTATTGTTTTTATTGACAATGTATGAAGTTAAATTGGCGGGAAAAAAGAGCGCAAGAGTAACTTCTCCAGAGGGGCTCCTGAGAGCTTTCGCGGGTTACTGAGTTTAGCCGCAGGTAATTTGTCGTTAAAGGATTGCTACATACATATTTCACAGAGGAAAACTGGTCGGTTGATTAGTTTTCACCTGTCGTAACCCAGCTAACATTATCCATACTGTCTTGTGTGAAGTCCTGGCTTACGGATTTTACTTACAGAGACAAAAAAAATGATTCATTCATTAGCATCCAACAAGAAAAATGTCATATTTATCGTGTTATTATATCAGTTAACTGGTTATAACCAATTTTGGGACACCAATAACCAAGTTAGCGGCATTTTCTTCACCTATTAAACGACTTTCCGAGATACAGCGTCAATAAAAAAAATCCATACAAACTCACCAAACGGCTATAGCAAAGTGTCCAGAAATACCTTGATGTAGTGTTTATCTAACGAATTTCTTTCTGTTCGTAAAGAAAGCCCACGTTGTTGCAGTACAGCAAACACGTGTATGACAGGCTGCGCTGACTGGTTGAGCCACTTCTCCAACAGACAGTTTGCGTCCTTCCGTTTCGTAATGTAAGTAAATTTTCCTTTCTTTTGTTTGCTCAGGCAAACCTTGGGCGCCGCTCACACAGGATTAACCAATGGGAGAGCTGAACTGCGGAGAAACTCTGCCTTACAGATTAAACTACGGTCGAATTTTTATGCCCGAGTCTACACACTGGGGCGAATGTAAAGCATTTCAAGGTCAGTGCAGCTTTTTTGAAACTAGAAATTAAAAATCATCAGGAAAATGATTTTGGATTATTAAAGCCTTCTTAATCTTTTTTTTCTTTGTATAAATTGACAGATTTTCTCCACTACTGTGATGAGATATTATCATGCTTAGTAGTGATTACTAATTAAAATAAAGCAAAAAATAAAATATAGCTATTATTCTAATTTGAAAGTCAAAATATGTGGAGAAGAACTTTATTCTAATTATCATATTTGTCCGACTCACCACTAGATGTCCTCAGTTTTCTATGTTGCATTATTCATCCCCTAAGCAGGCTAAAGCTTGACCTTTCACAAGTATAATAATACTATTAATAAATAATGATCTGGAAGGAAATAAGTCTTACATTTACTAACACAGAAATTCAATGTCCTCATGTATTATTGTTTGGCAAGTGTGGCACAATGAGACAAAGCACTAGTCCCACTTAAAACCCAGTTTACACCCCAACACAGCCTCGAAGATATTAAAGTTTTTTGTATTCACTGTTGTGCTGCTCCAGTTTTGCTGTGGGTAATGAGAGTGGTGATTCTAATTCATTTCTGTCCATGATCTAATTAAAGACCTCGTCCCTGCCACCTCATTTTCATAAGCTGTTCCCTTCAATTACATCTGACAAGTGAGCAGAGACACACATTAACCTCCTGCAGGAAGAACTACTGTGCTTTCCTCGTGTCTTTGAAACATTAAAATACAAGAGAGCCATTCAAAGCTAATTCCACCTCTCTCAATCTACCTATTTGCAAAACATATCTGAGGATAAGGCCGCACCCACCACCCCCACAGTCTGATGTAGACTTTCTTTGATGCAAATGACAAGAGAGTGCCATGCAATGTTGTATTTTGCAATGCTTAGTGGTCATGTGTATCACAACATCCAAAGTCACTCTCTATAAATGCAACACTATCAGTGTGTATACCTTTTTCAAACAGCGAGAGAAGCCAAAAGGAAGAAGCTTAAGTTAGAGCGAAACTTGTTGACCTAACTCCCAATAAAATAGACGTATTGAAACATATAGCACTGTTTTTGACACTCAAGGTTATTTGCGCACAGACAGATGAGATATGTTTATTTATGAGAACTGAACTTTAGGTGTAAAATAGGATAAGATTTTCATTGGGAGTGACCAGGATGGGAGAGGATTAGAAATAAGTATATCAGACGAACATGCTCAAACTAAGCAGCTTGGAGACAAACTTAGAGAGGCAAGACTGAGATGGTTTGGACGTGTGCAGAGGAGGGATGGTGGATATATTGGATAAAGGATGTTGAAAATGGAACTGGCAGGCAGGAAGAAAAAAGTAGGATCTCAAAGGAGGTTCATAGGTGTAGCGAAGGAGGACATGCAGAGGGTTGGTGTGACAGAGGAGGAGGCTATAGGGATAGGGTGAGTTGGAGACAGATTATCTGCTGTGGCAACCCCTAAAGGTAGCAACCAAAAGAAGAAGAAGAAAAAGAAGAAGTGATGTAGTTTATTTTAAACTTCATCGGGACAGCTGTTGTCTCCTATTATGTGGTTATGTTGTCTTGTTAGAGCATGAGGTTAGTAGCTATGGTTTGAATTACGCTAACAACAAACACAACAAAGGCAACTTATTGCCAAAACATTTTGTTGGCTAAATATATTCAGGTCTTAAGGAATCATTATGAAGGAAATGTTAGACTTCCTTAGAATCATTTATGCTAACTGTTGGACTATGATCTTGTAATGAGAATTTTACAATTTTCTGATGTTTAAAAACCAGATGATTAACCAGGCAGCTGGGAAAATTCAGCAGTTAAATCCAGGATGAAAGTATGTGTTAATTTCTGCCTTAATTGTATAATTATCTGTAATTGATTACATTAGTTATAAAAAGCACAATTATCTGATTCCATGAAATCATAAATAAAAGACTGCTTGCTTTTTTTGCTGAAGATTATTTGTGTTTCAATTAAGTGACTCAAAAAAATGACTAATATCATCATAATGAAAACAACCATTTCCCTGTTGTGCAAATAAAGTGAATTATCCACGAGAAAAGAATGATGAGAAATATTCCACCAAAGTCAAACATCAGTTTGTTTTGGCAGGTTTCCCCACCACTCCTCTCTGTAAGCTGCATAGCAGCAGGGTCAGATGTCACAAGCTGCTCTACTCTCCCAGACCTCCAGTGGGCAAGAGAGGGCCAACTCCCAGCTCAAGCAGACACAGAAACAGTAGCCCACACCCCTCATGCCAAACACACATTATTTATGAATAAGAGTGGTGCCTTTCCCTGTCCTCTTGTAGTTTTGGAATTTTAAAGACAAATCGATTTAGGATGGGAACACAGATGGCTCTTAAGGCACAATGCAGTTCAAAACCACTCAGAGGAAGAGTGAGCTCTTGGGCAATTAGTGTCATTATGGCTGCTCATGTGGTTGGTGGGCTGGATAAACAGTGGCTGTGGCTTCTAGGGGTTAGGCATGTGGGTAGCATGGATAATAATGATCGGTGCTGTACTGCAGCAGAGCAGCGCATGCACAAAAACACACATAAACACACACAAAACAGCTTTAAATAGATACTGGTCAGAAAGCAAAGGTAAAGAGGAAAAAAGAATGTAAAGGAACTAGAAAAATCAAACCACTTATGATCATAAAACCAAACCAAAACCAAATGTATTCTATTTAAAACAACAATATAAAAACTAAGAAAAGCAGGCACTGTGTGCAGTTCAGAACCTGTTTACTCTTTAAAGAATCACGGGGGACTCAAATCTAGTCCAGAATACAGTGAATGCAAAGCAATAAAAAGCAAAGTTTTGAATCATTAAAATGTATTTTTTATCACAGTTGTTGACTTCTAATTTCCTGTAAGTCAGCAATTCAGGTAACCACTGATAATGTTACAAATGTATTATTTATTTTTATATATACATATATCATATTTGTGTAATATTGTATTTTCGTGTGAACTGGTGTTGTTGTCAGTTTGAGATCTGAGAGGTTAGCACATATATGTACACACACACACACACACACACACACACACACACACACACACACACACACACACACACACACACACACACACACACACACACACACACAATCATCTACAGTTATAGTGACAACCACATGTGACAAAAAGGATGTGTGGTTGTAAACTCACCGAAAGTGACCTGTAATTTCTCCGAGAAATGCAGCTCGTAGACCTTGAGGGGAAACTCACGCTGAGTTTGTTGTCATTATCTTAAACCTATTTAATACACATGTGTGCGGATGCATCTCTATGGGAGTGTAACACCTACCATTCTCTTTGCCAAAACCACAAGTTATTGAGAAAATAAATGTCAGTTAAAGGGCGTTGTCTGTGGCGTCTCTACTGGTCTCTCCTCCTGCTACTTGGAGCACATCTAATTTGATTATGAGCACCAGTGAGGAAAAGCATTGAGAGTGAGAGTTTATTGGATAACATGGGACCAACGATGACAATAGAGAGATGAGAGGGAGTGAAATGGAGAGAAAGAGAAATAGGAATTAAGTGATTTGTGAGAGAGAAAGGGAGAGAGACACTCCAACAGAGGGAACGAGAGACTCTTCCCATGGGGGGATGAGACTGGATCAGTGCCCGGTATGCCACTGCACTGTCGTCTGTGAGCTGCCTTTGTACATGTATGGAGACCAGCATATCTCATGATCCTCGGCTATTATCCCGACCCAACTCCTAGTATGGGGCCTAGTATTCTCTCCTGCCTATTGCTTCTCTTCCTGCTTACTTTCACCACCTGCCTCTCACCCTTTTTCCTTTTTTCTACTCTATCCTTCCTCTCTTCTCAATCCTTATGACCCCCTACTCCTCCTTATTACACTCTTCCTGTCCATCTCTTCACTCTCCTGGCCAATGCACAGCTAAAGCTGGGCCTCTGCCACCTGAAAACAGATGACAGTTTTGTGCTTTTTTCCCCCTGTTACTGCTACAGACCCCCCTCCAGGAGAGGTCCGTCTGCTTAAGACGAGAGGGGGAAATGAAGATTGATTAATTTAAAAAGCACACTCTCCTCTTTTTTCTTCTCTGAGCCCCCCTTTAGCAGAACATGCCTGCCCAACAGAGAGAGATTGAGAGCAAAATCATGGAGGCTCATTCATCAAGTTCTGTATCCCATTATAAATAATGTGTGTAAAGTGCAAACAAGCCTGGGAACTAAGGATTGTGGCCTTTGACCAGCACTGCTATTATGTATGTGCAGTTAAGACTTTTTCAGCGAGGGAACGGTGACAAGATCAATGTGTCAAAGCCAACATGATCCACGGGAGATTCTTGTCTTTAATTTTTCTGTCTTAATTTGAAATGATGTTCAGTATTTCGTATTTTAAGAAAGGGCAAATGTGTATACATCATTAACAATACACCATATAAATGACCAAACAATCATGAATTGTCATTATGTAACATATGTCATTATGTAACAATTCAGTTGTGTAACGTTTTTCTCAAAATACAAAATAATTGATTTTACTTTAATCTCTAACTGTCAAATGGAATTTTGCTTCCTAAAATAATCAATGTGGCAGTCAAATCACCAGTAACATTAAAAAAGTCAGTCTGATAACAGATCATACTCTAGAAGGAGATACGCCCTGATGCCTTGTGACCCTGCACATTAGCACTCCTAGACCACATGTCATGTCAAGTCAGATGCTAGACTGAGCCGAACAAGCAGTCCTTTTATCACTAACTCAGTTATTCAGTTATTTCAACCTCTTCACGCACTGAAGACTGCTCG